AGCTCAAAGGCAGCTTCTAGACAGTTCTTGAGAGACTTTAAAAGTGTGGTTTTGAGCTCTATATCTTCCATTTCTGACATTTCCATCCTGTTTCTTTGTCTCCTCATTTTTTTATCTTTTCTTGGTGCACCCCCTAGTGGTATTTGTTCGAAGCCTTGTTGTAGTTAACCCTTGATTGATGTCGGGAATACCTGGGGTGATTTGACCTCCAGGCTAACTGGCTGTCAAAATACCTGTTTTAATGTCCTTGTCAGTTAGTTCCATGATCCCTGTCATTTCTGGATCTAGTTCTATTGAGTGACAATTTTCCTGTTTCTTTACATCCCTATATCATCCCTATATATATATATTTTTTTATTCTTGATTTCAGAGAGAGGAAGGAAGAGGGAGAGAGAATCATTGATTGGCTGCCTCCTGCATGCTTTCCTGTGGGGATTGAGCCCACAGCCCAGGCATTGCCCTTGACCAGAACCGAACCTGGGGCCCTTCAGTCCGCAGGCCAACGCTTTAACCACTGAACCAAACCAGCTAGGGCTACTTTTTTTTAAAGTAGGCTTTATTTTTTAGAGCAGTTTTAGGTTTTATTGTCACTGCGGACAAGTGAGAATATGACCTCGTGCTAACATATCTGAAAAACTAAGGCAAGATAACCATCTTGTTGTGGAAACAATTAAAGGCATGGTACCTGGAGCAGGAAGTGGTTACATCTACCATTTGGAAGCTTACTACAACCCGGGAGAAGTTAAACGATGCTAAAAATCATCAAATTTAAATGCAATTACTTTGATTTTATATTAGCTGGGGCTTTGGCTCTATTCTTCAGTATAAGCCATGGAAGTGTGATTGCAAAGCTGACCAAATGAATTTCAATAAATTGAACTCTAACTTTCCATTAATTTCTCTTATAAAATTGGAGCTACATTTCTGTATGCGGAGGCAGGGCTGGTGGTGGAGGGAGAACTTGTGAGAAGCCTTCATGTCCAGCCTGACACAGACTGCGTGTTTTAATGCACCATCAGCACAGTGTCTGCCACCAGTCAGGAGTGAAGCTGCACTCCTGGAGGGCAGGAATGTCTTTAGCTTCTGTGCACTTTGCATCTAACTCACTGCCTGGCTCATGGCAAGGGCTCGACACTTGTCGCTGAATAAGTGCTAAAATGGCCAAGTAAAGAGAGACAGTAATTCATGCTGGGTGTTGTGCAGTATGCCTTGGGAACTCTAATTCTTTCCCAGCTCTGAGATCTTCTCCACCTTTTCCAAATATCACCATGTGAGTGCGCATGCCTGTAGATGCACACACACAAGCACCCCCCATATGGGTTTCTTTTTTATGGGGGACTCAGCTCCCACAACACTATCAATGAGCCACCTGAGTCTCATGTCAAACTGTGAATCATTGGGAGTGATACTCTGCAGAAACCGTGTGCACAGGTTAAAGACAACCCGCTTCCAACACAATTTAATGCGCGTCTACTCTGTGCCCATCCAGACATGTGGGGCAGGAGTGAGCACCACCACTGACACTTCAAGTGGCTGATCATGAATTCTGCAATCCGGGTGAAGAACAGAGGCTTGTTCACTGCTCTCCCTACTCAGTTCTCCTCAGCACATTCTCTTACTACCATAAGTGTTACCCACCCATTTGACTGTCATCTTAGCATAAATCCTGGCCCACGCCATGCTCCTGAGTCACTTGAATGCTCTTGCATCACTCCTGTCTCAGGTTCCTTCAATGACAGCTCTTCGAACCGTCACCCTCCCCTCTGAGGCTGTCCTGTGTCACCTCCACCTACAACTCGCTTGTCGGCTCTGCTCACTCCCTGCCCTTGTTCCTTGGCCCTGTGCAGACATGCAGACGTGCCACTCCAAGGAGAACTCCAGGTTCCCCTTTGGGCTTCTCTCCTCCCTGTCTTGGTCCATATCCAGGGGTGTGTCCATGCCTTAGCTTGGAGAGGCTTTGTGCCAACGTATGAGCAGGAGCCTAAACTAAAATCTATAAACAATTAAATGTTTAATATAAATAAGTATTTGAACTAAAAATTATGAACATTTTAAAAATTACAGTAGTATGTGAACAATGCTGAGAAGTATCTATATATTTTTTTCATTAGTTTATTATAAAAGAAACACGGAACTTAATTACATGACGAAAGATTTCAGAACTTCAATGGAATGGGCAGCTTCACATGATGCCATTTCAATAGTGATTTATTTCAGTCTACTGGTACATACTTTCCAGGAATGTCACCATCTCTAAATAAGAAATAATCCTTGTCTAGAACTACTTCGGTGCCTCCATATTCTGGAAGGAGACCTTTATCTCCAACTGTCACGCTAATAGGTTGAATCTCTCCACCCTTTCCTTTGGAGCCTGATCCAATAGGGACTACTGTGGCTTGCAATACTTTTCCTGGAGGTTTTTCTGGAAGCATCATGCCTCCTTTGGTTACAGTTTCTGCAGCGCTGCTTTCAGCTAATACTCGGTCAAAGCGGGGAAGGAACTTCCTAAGGCCTGTCCTGCCATGACTCCGACCACCGCTGCCTGTGCTCCGCTGTCGTACCGCGGCTGCAAGGAGAGACCTGCAGTCACTGCTGGCCACTATCTATATTTCTTTTTTTTTTACAGCGCTGCTCAGCTAATACTCGGTCAAAGCGGGGAAGGAACTTCCTAAGGCCTGTCCTGCCATGACTCCGACCACCGCTGCCTGTGCTCCGCTGTCGTACCGCGGCTGCAAGGAGAGACCTGCAGTCACTGCTGGCCACACTA